AATATCATATTTACTAGGTTCCCTGTGATATATAAATATCATATTTACTAGGTTTCCCTGGTGGTATATAAATATCATATTTACTAGGTTCCCCTGTGATATATAAATATCACAGACTAGGTTTCCCTGTGATATATAGATATCATATTTACTAGGTTCCCCTGTTGTATATAAATATCATATTTACTAGGTTACCCTGTGATATATAAATAACATATTTACTAGGTTTCCCTGTGATATATATATATCATATTTACTAGGGTCCCCTGGTGGTAGAGAGAGAGAGAAATGGGGTTTAACGTCCACTTGACACAAACTAGGTCATTTTGGGACTAACATATGGTTTTTTATTTTTATTTCAATAATTCGTTTGCGCATAGGGGTCTTTAGCAGTGGGAGGAAACCGGAGGACCCGGAGAAAACCCACAAGTTGGACAGGCGAACCTACTCCTTGTCACGTAAAACCAGGGATTCGAAACCACGCCAGTAGACTCAATGACAGACTTTATGATACAGCGCGCGCACGCTAACCATTCAGCCATCCAACCCCCCTCCCCTGGTGGTATATAGATATTATATTTACTAGGGTCTTTACTGGGTTCCCCTGTGATATATAAATAACATATTTACTAGGTTCCCCTATGGTATATAAATAACATATTTAACTCATTGTGTCTAGCGTAAAATGAATATACACTAACAGTAATAATATAAGCCTATAGCGTTAGTTGTTTTATACCCTGAATAAAATGATGATAAATATAATGAATATATGAATATTATACCCTGAGTAAAATGATGATGAATATAATGAATACATGAATATTATCCTGTAACTAATAATGGTAGATAAAGGCCATTACTGAAATTAATAACCCAAATCTCAATCATTCAAATGATCTTAATTTAGGGTAGTAGGGCCGAATAGAAAAATTTTCCTGTGGTAGATAAATGAAACACAAGGATATAAAAAATATCACCAGAATTCCAATATTTTTCAATATTTATTTTAACACCTACCACATTGGAACAGGCTAGGGGGGCCCACCGGTTCCTCCGGGGCAGCGGGGGTAGTCCTATCAGCCTTCTTCCTGTTTCCCATATCTTCACGTGTCTATCAGTTCAGTAAGTTGTGGAAGAGAGATAAGGTGTACTGCAGGTAAAACTGGGACAACCTGTGGTGACGTATACTATATATAGATTGTACAGGTAAATCTTGTTACTATAGTAAACGACGACAGGTAGAGAGAGTATTTACAGAACAGATGGATTTACACCACGTTTTTCCCTCCACAATTCAAATACTGGCCACTTTATTTATACAATTAGGTCAGCCATATAAAAGTTTTACTCTCCAGTTATTCATGAGTTATTACAATATCTATTTTCGGCTTTATATATCAGTATTTCCCATTCATACTATAAATATTGAAGACATTTAAAGGGACTATCCCAATTAGAACAGAGTAAAAGTCTGAGTATGTATGAAATTTAAGCGTCAAAATATAGAGGAATGGTGTATGGACCTTATCTCAAAATTTCAGCTCAAAACTGCTTATCTGGATACGTAACCCTTTTAAGATTTTGGGTCAATTTTTTCATTGGGTGACCTGATAATTGATCCCCGTTCCTTTTAGATGTCTTCACAGTAAATGACCCATCTGCTGTACTTGATAGCGAAAGGTAAATTTCACCTACACATTATTTTTATAAAACAAAAGTCTGGTTTTATCCAGACACCACATAATACAGCTTGGGACACCGCGCTCCATTTCCAGATGAAGACTGACAGGTTTAAGTTGTTTGAAAACATATCACATATATTGAGTTAGTTGCTCAGCCCTACGGTAGAGGATTTTTAAGCGATTTTAACACAAAATTAAGCAGTTTTATTCTCCAATAATATCAGGACTGGCCCATTAAAGTAAGTTTTATTAATCTACATGTATATGGAAGACCATAAAACACCGAAAATGAAACATAAAGTCAATTTTTTGTTTAAAATGTTGATTTTGTGCATGAAATGTTGACATAAGAATGTAGAAACAAGAATCATTAGTTTAGAATGTTGCATTCATGTCTAAAATATTCAAACTTGAATGTAGAAATAAGAATCATGAATATTGTCCCATTTGGTCTTCCATAAATCTATGCTTCTATTACCGTTTTATGAACTACGCCTTTGATAAACAGTAAAGACAATGGACTCGCGATCAGAATGGGTTTGATTCTGGGCATGGTCCAAAAGAAATATCATTAAAGCCAGCATGGACTCCAGAATCGATGGAAAACTGCTATCTAGGCAAAATTCTCCTGCCTTTCTTTTTCTCAAAATGACCAAAGTATTGTGTAAAGACAAACAACATTTTTTTCTTGACATATTTGATTTATAGTGAATATTTTTCCGATTAAAAAACCAGAAACAGATTGATATTACTTATAAATACTATAAAACGTCTAATGATAAATCATTTTCATTAATTCCATGTTACAATTTTTTTTCGTTTCAGATAAAAGAGTTTTGTCATAATTCATCATACATAACTTACAGATACAACCATAACATGTACATGACATTTTAATACTCAGTTATTTTGTAAATCATGATGACCTAACAGTAGGCCAAACCAGTTTAATTTTAAGTTATTCATGGTCTTCATAGAGAGAGAAAAAGAAATGGGGTTTAAAGTCCACTCGACACAAACTAGGTCATTTCGGGACTAACATATGGTTTAATTTTATTTCAATAATTCGCTTGCACATAGGGGGCTTTAGCAGTGGGAGGAAACCAGAGGACCCGGAGAAAACCCACAAGGCTGGACAGGCGACCCTACTCCTTGTCACGAACAACCGGGGATTCGAAACCACGACAGTTGACTCAATGACAAGCCTTATGATACAGCATGCACGTGCTAACCATTCGGCCACCCAACCCCCCGTCTTGATAGGTAAATAGCCACTCAAAACAACATGAAAGATGTTTTATTTAAAATTTCAAAACTCACAAATTAAAAAAAGGCTTTTGAACAGCACAACCAAGTACTTTTGGATTTTAAATAAGATTTTGACTCAAAGAAATAAAGTGGGGTTGGATGGCCGAATGGTTAGCGTGTGCGCACTGTATCATAAGGTCTGTCATTGAGTCATCTGGCATGGTTTCGATTTCCTGGTTGTATGTGACAAGGAGAAGGGTCGCCAATCCAACCTCGTGGGTTTTCTCTGGGCCAGCTCAATTTTTCGTCATAGGTTATGAGATGTAAACAGGGCTAGTGCCAATTCCAACCCTAACCCTGGAACTAACCCCAACGCTTCCCCTAACCCTAACCTACAATCTCGCATACAATCACGTGCCCTAACCTTATTTACATCTCAGCGACCTTGAAAAAAATTGAGCTGGCCTTAACAAATAGATTTAGCCATTTGTCTGTCTCTCAGTAACAAATCCAGTGAGACAAGTACTGTCGTCACTGTCAGTAACCATTGAAAACATGTTTTATCAGTTAATGTGATCAAACTGGTGAGAAGACAGGTAAAAACATGGTACACGATGGTAACATATGTTCTAACACTACAGTGTTAACATCTAACACACAGTACATCTAGGTGTTATAGTCGGCTTGAATTAGTGTTATTAAACGGACATTGCCAAGTACCTTATTAGTTCTATAGTACCTCTATATTAATTACACCACAGAGAGTGAGAAATGGGGTTTAACGTCCACTCGACACAAACTAGGTCATTTCGGGACTAACATATGGTTTAATTTTATTTCAATAATTCGCTTGCGCGTAGGGGTCTTTAGCAGTGGGAGGAAACAGGAGGACCCGGAGAAAACCCACGAGGTTGGACAGGCGACCCTACTCCTTGTCACGTACAACTGGGGATTCGAAACCAATCCAGTCGACTCAATGACAGACTTTATGATACAGCACGCGCACGCTAACCATTCAGACATCCAACCCCCCAAATACACCTCAGTATGAAATGAATTGGGGTTTATATTACATCCAGTCTGATTAAAATACACATCTATATTTCGTTTATTTTTTTTATACTTTCTATGGCATCTACTACATGAAGATCTAACCAGTTGTAATGGAAGGTTGCATCAGAGGTCATACAAGCATCTTTTGACCCTATGACATCAGACATTTGATTAACCAATTTTTAAGTTTTAATATTCTCTATGAATAAACCAGCGGCTGCCAGGCAGGATACGCCCACATTTTCGAGAGATGGATAGAAAACAAGCTAAAACAAAAGTGATTTTTCCTACAATCAAGGGCCATAATTCAGGAAATTACAATTCGATATGCGCAAATATCGAAAGGAACCGAGATCTTTGGGTTATAAACTTACATTTCAAGTTTCAACAAAATCGGATAAAAATTGTGACCTCTATAGGGTCCACAACCTTGATATACCATATTTTTACGCTATTTGAGAACGAATGGCGGCCATTTTGTCTGTCAGTTTTGGGCCGATTTTCACGAAATTCGAACTCAACCGTCCTTAGGGTTTAATATACGTGATATAATAATACGTTTTTTTAAATCGGATAAAAAGTATGACCTCTATAGGGTCCACAAGCCAAAAAATGTGTTTTTACGTACAATCAGGGGCCATAATTCAGGAAGTCAGGTCCGATATGCGCGAATATAGAAAGGAACCGTGATCTTTGGGTTATAAACTTACATTTCAAGTTTCAACAAAATCGGATAAAAATTGTGACCTCTACAGTGTTCACAAGCCAAAAACGTGATTTTCGTACAATCAGGGGCCATAATCCATGAAGTCACGGTTCGATAGATGCCAATATCGAAAGGAACCGAGATCTTAGGGTGATACACCTATATTTCAAGTTTCATTGAAATCGGATAAAAATTGTGACCTGTAGACTGTTCACAAACAATTGTGGACGGACGGACAGACAGGGGCGACGACAATATACGTCCACATGAAAATGTGGGCGTATAAAAAGTAAAAGTAGGATATTTACCCATTTAACATATTAAAAGAATCAGGTATTATATCAACCTCTGACATCATACCATGTGCTACCCCTGAAATACAAGCAAAATAATAAAACAGTATTAGAGCTGCTAGTTATATGAAGCTATTGAAGTTTTAATAAGCATAAGGAAAATACAAATTCGTAATGTTTTTATGAGTCAAAGGCATGTTCGGGGTTCATTCAACATACATTATGCAAGAGCTAAAACTGCCTATTGCAGGTCTTTCTTTGTGCCTGAAATGTTATATAAACTATTATTAGACATTTATTAACATGAAAACACCTTAATCAACTCTCGTTGTCATCTTATGTGTCAGATTTTCTCTGGATTTGAATCCAATTTGCTGCTCAATGATGATTTAATCCAAAAATGGATAATCGAGACTATGTTTAGTTAGTCATTTTGGGACTAACACATGGTTCAATTTTATTTCAATAATCCGTTTGAGCATAGGGGTTTTTAGCAGTGGAAGAAAACAGGAGGACCTGGAGAAAACCCATGAGGTTGGATAAATGACCCTAATCCTTGTCACATACAAGCGGGGAATGGAATCATGACACTTGACTCAATGACACACCTTATGATAGAACGCACACACATTAACCATTTGGCCCCCCAAACCCCCGCTAAATAAAATAAAGAAGTTCTTACGTTTAATATCTTCTAACATAACTTTATCATTTTCTACATCTCGTCTGTTGGCTTTGGGAGATTTTGCATTTGTTAACCTGGCTGGACCTCGAACCTTACCACCTCCAAGGTTTCTTGCCCCACTTGACACGACTCTGAAAATAAACATTCTCCAATAAAGTTTGGTAATAATATATACATTTATACCCCTCACTGGTCCATGTTAGTATGCATGCTCAAAACGCTGGAGAAGGCTAGATCGGAGACGGTCCTGCGCATTTTATGACGTCATATGTGGATTATGGATAGCATAAACATATATTGTAAGCTTCATCTAAATTGGATAAAAATTGTGACCTGTAGAGTGTCCACAAACAAATGTGAACAATGGTAACAGCATGATACGAGTTGATTATTGGCTTGTCATGTGAATAAATGTCTAATTAATACTTTATATAACATATGTTCGTTAAAAAAGTATTAACATTAGTGTTACTTTGCTATTATTTTTTGAAAAATTTTCACAAGTTGTTTTCCTTTATTTTGTTAATGTAGAATGGTAATGAACTGCTCTTTTCATTTTCTTTGTTTTATTTGGTTCGTTTGAATTTGATTTATCTGTTTAGTTTTTGATTGTTTAATTTTTGTTAATGAAGTTGATTCTTTTAAACTTCGTTTTTTATTTTTGAACTCTACTTGGTGTAGGTGTTCATCAGGTAATACCTCGACTGAGTTCAATATAGAGATTAGCCGGTTGATTTATTGGATATAAACCTTTGAATAATAGCGCCTAATGTGTTTAATTATGTTCTCCTGATTTTGATTGTTTCTGTGTGTTTGAAGTAAATGTTTGTGATATGTGCTTAGAAACACTTCATGTGTAATGAAGCGCTATATAAATCGAACAATAATAATAATAATAATAATATCATAGTGTATGGAGAGAGAGACAGGGAGGGAGAGAGAGAGAGAGAGAGAGAGAGAGAGACGGTTTAACATCCACTTGACACAAATTAGATCATTTTAGACAAACGTATGGTTCAATTATTTATTTCAATAATTCACTAGCGGGTATGGGTCTTTAGCAGTGGAAGGAAATCGGAGAAAACTCCTGAGATTGGACAGGGGACCCTACTTGTCACATATAAGTTGGGAATTGAAACCATGCCACTTGACTTTTGACAGACCTTCTGATCCAACGTGCATGCATTAACCATTCGGCCAACCACCCACACACAGTGTATGGTGTATGCCTGCCTTCAGTAACCAAGTCAGTGCAAGTATGACATTAAAGGGTCAATCCCGATAATATTTTGGAGAATAAAACTGCTTAATTTTGTGTTAAAATCCCTTAAAATCCTCTACCTTAGGGCTGAGCAACTAACTCAATATATGTGATACGTTTTCAAACAACTTAAATGGAAACCAGTGTCCCAAGCTGTATTATATGGTGTCTGGATAAAACCAGACTTTTATTTTATAAGAAAATAATGTGTAGGTGAAATTTACCTTTCGTTATCAAGTACAGCACATGGGTCATTCATAGACCTCTAAAGGAATGGTAATCGATTATCAGGTCACCCAACGAAAAAATTTACTCGAAATCTTAAAAGGGTTATGTGTCCGGATAAGCAGTTTTGACGTTCACGTCCAAACGACTCAATATTCTGAGCTGAAATTTTGAGACAAGGTCAATACACCAATCCTCTATATTTTGGCGCTTAAATTTCATACGTACTCTGACTTTTATGTTTGAGACTCAGTTCAAATCGGGATAGTCCCTTTAAATTCATGTCATTTCAGTACTTACCTATCAAGTCTATTTTTATCATGATGACCCTTGTTCTTTCTTCTCTTGTCTTTTTTATCTGGGTGCAGACTAAAAACAAATTCACCAACATAATAAAAATGTTAGAAATATAAAACTTGAAAAAAAATTATATTTTTCTTTGTGATTTAACCCTTCATATAAATAATTATTATTTCAAACAATAATGTACTATTTTCTTTTTCTTTGTAATTTAATTCTTCATTTTATTTATAATTTTAAACAATGTAGGCCTACTTCTAATTTTTTTTTCAAATAATTTCTTCTAAATAGGGGAGATATTGTTCCATTTACCACTGCCCCCATGTAACTAGACCTAGAGAATAAATTTGAACAGAATACACAACTAACCTGACGAACTCTAAAGTATTTGTTTCTTCTTTCCAGACCCATTTACCCAATGTCGGTTGTAAATTCTAAATAAACGACAAAATTTTATAAGAAGCATTAGCAGACATGATCGAGCTTGCTGTTGTAATATTCTCAGATTGGTCTAATACTCAGACACATGTCATACAGTAATGCCACCTTTCATAGAAGAGTTCCCTCCCCTTTGTTCTTTATTGGAGTTTTGGGGAGTTATCTCCCATATGTGGAATATTTGGTACTTGGAGAGGTTGAATAAAACATGGTCTATCTCACATGTGGTTTTTAGATTCAATAAATACATTTTAATTCATGCCATCCATTCATGGTGAACCAGAGAACTACCCCCACAGAGCAATAAATCACTCACAGCTGTCTGTACATCAATAACTCATATTTCTTCATGTTTTTAAATGAACTCTTTTCACCACCAATAGAGAGAGAATGATACAATTTTATTTTAATAATTTGCTTGCACCATTGGGGTCTTTAGAAAGAATCTGAAGGAAACTGGACAACCCAGAGAAAACCTGCAAGGTTTGGCAGGTGACTCTACTCATACAAGCTTGGGATATAAACCAATGACAGACCTTATGATCCAAAGCACACACAGACTACATAGCATGTTCAAAGAATCTTTTAATTTCAACTTCACAATTATATCAGGTGATTAATGATTTCAAATTTGATGACTGAATAAAACAAAAACACCTTTCAACTTGAAACTTATGGTTATAGAACTTTGGTTACAAGGTCTAATTCCAATATGCCAAGTTGTTACTTTTTTTTTCTTAAACTGTGAGCCAATAATAAGACAAGTCCACGACGAACATATTCGGTCCTAACTCATAGTGTGGTCCATAGCTTCAAATATTTAAGTTAATAGAAACTGCACCTACCTGTCAACCTATTGCATCTATAATTACATTTATGCGAAAGAGCAAAATTCAGTGACTCACACGTGTATTCAGAGGCCGCAGCAAACATTCGCCCAAAATAGGCATTGACGTGACAATAGTAATTAGCTAACCTATCTACAAGATGACACATTAAAATTTTAATGTGACCAAGCAGTTAACTCATTTTGTCACTATGAGCGAATATCTTTTGTCATTTTTTGAACGATTCAAAACATATTTCCAAATGGTTAGACTTAGATTCTATATCCTCAAAATAAAATCAAATGTGGTCAGACTTCGATTGTTGATGAATGATGTTTTTTTATGTTAAGTCTTCTTTTCATAAATGTTTTAAAAAAAGCCCTTAATATTGTCTGTCATATCTTTCTGCCCATTAACGTCCTATCATAATCATCTTGGAAAGCACCCTGTGACCCTGGGAGGATGGATGGTAGCAGCCTACTGATTGGTAATAAAGATGTTATTCAAAGTATGTAAGTTTGTAACTATTTTATGATTAACAAAATGGTGAATCAAGATGAGGAATAGAAATCATCTTTTGCAGCAATGGAACATGAATATTTCTGTAGAAGACAGGGTCAGGGGAATTATAATAATAATAATAGTACCAGTACTACATAGAATTGGTAGATTTTGAAGAAATGTGAACAAATAACAATATTAACAATCCTAAACAAATCTATCAAATTCAAATATAGCAATTATTGAGATTAATTCGACAGATAATGATAAAAGAGACAATTGATCTTCACAAAATCTCATTGATAAAAACTTACCGTATCGGTTGTTGTTGCTAGTTTAGACATTTTTTCTATAAAACGTTGTTAGAAAAAATTATTTAGAATTTTCGTCAGCCATCTTAGCATTTACCATGGAAACACCAGGGAGGTAACTCAAAATTACATAACTAGAGTTACTTCCCTTATACCATAAAATTATCTCAGCTGGTGTTTTTTTATTTCATGATGAAAAAAATTGTTGTGAGACTAGAAAATTACTAGATCTAGATATTTTTCACGCTATAATTGTTTAATCCCCTAGACAAATTCTGTGTCCGTATAGTAAATCAAATCCATCTTGTATTCAAGGGAGGCCCATCAAAAGTTTTTGCCCAACACTTATAAGTGGCAGTGACACGTTTATATCTGCCAAAGGTTTTAATTCATCATAATTTTTGTGACTGATATTCATTTTAGAAATTCAGTTGGATGAGAAAGTTACAGTTCCTAAGGATTTTCCAACGTGATTCCCTTTTAATTTGTTTAAATGCGGAATATACAGGTTACTATTCTATGGAATACAATTACTGCTTATTACTGAGAGGTGTCGGGACTAAGCTTATTACGGTGGTACTTTTTACCGCCGACCAAATGCTTTTTACCGCCGACCGTCGTGTAATTACGGCCGACCAAATACTTTTTACCGCCGACCAAATACTTTTTACCGCCGACCGCATTGTAATGACTTTCGACCGTAATATAATTACCGCCGACAAGTTCGACTGTCGACCATATATATATATAATAAAATCTATATTTTTATCAAACTCTGTGTATTGAACCAAATCTATTTATTTGTCACTAATAATTTAATTAATTTTATATAGTCGGCGGTAACAAGGAATCATTAAGCATTTGGTCGGCGGTAAAAAGGACCACCCCCTTATCTAGTCATTAATCTACTCCAAACAATTTGCAGAGGTCGTTAAACCCAGAACTGGTTCCATACACTTGGTAATCTCCTTGTTCTTGTGACAATATTATTCACTATCTGATTAAAACACAGATTTTATTTCGTGTCGTTTATTATAGTGAAAATTTCGTTTTACTACACTAGGATCTGGAAGAGTTGTTATATAACCAACATTTTCGTTGATGTGAGGGATAAGCCAATGAATGGGTCTGTAGTGTTGCAGGGAGTTCTTGGCGTTCAATGCACGGAACTGTGGGTATCCTACTAAAAACGTAAGACTGGCTTGTGAAATGAAATGAAATGAAATGAAATGGGGTTTAACGTCCTACTGTTATGCTCCTAAGACTGGCTTGTAAACTGTTTTTCTTTGATTGCTTTGTAGAAACAATCCATGTGCCAATGAAATCATCAAGGGTAGATAATTTGAATCTGTGAATACCCCATGGATGGACCCATGGGTAAGTGGAATAGAGCGGAACGATACCACTGGAGATACAGACAATGGGTCGGTTCTGGATTCATAAAGTACACTCAGACTTGTTAAACTGATATTTCCACAAAAGAGAATTCAAAACATAAAAATATTTTTATAGTACATTTATTAAATTATTTAAACGTATGTATGGATGTAAGAAAGGAAGAAATAGTACTTTATAGAATTTAGAAACAGTTTATTTTAGAGATATATAATATTTTACAATATTAATAGACAGGATAGGAGAGTGAATCACAAACTTGGAACAAGCAGTGCAAGTAATAGAATACAGGAAAACATGGCATCAATAGGATTAACGCAAATCTTGATATTATACTAATCTCGGTTAACAAACATGGGATATCAATTAGTATAGTGATAACCGATAGGAGTTACGCACCCATATTGATGAAGTATACGATATTAACTTTTTACGAGATACAAGTCGAACTACAAAGCGTTTATCATCAGTCTTCGAGTGATCATTTCTTTATTCAATTTAGCTAAAAATCGAATTAAATTGAGTGATCATTTCTTTATTCAATTTAGCCAAAAATCGAATTAAATTGAGTGATCATTTCTTTATTCAATTTAGCCAAAAATCGAATTGAATTGAGATATTTTTCTAACATTACATTGAAGACAAACTCCATCATTTTGAGCAATATATATTTGTTAGACTTGATAAACAGGACTTAGACAATGAGATTTTCTAAACATCGATTAGACATGACTTTTAACTACATCTATCGTTACCACATTCACGGCAAGGCGTATATATTTATACATATTAGAAATCTAAATTTAAAAAAAAAAATATTTAAATTAAATTAATTAATTAATCTCCTGTCATATAAGCATATCATATCATATATACACAGTGAATCAGATACGTGAAGTTTACAATATTCTATGTAAAATTTTCATCAGTTGTTAGTTTAAAAAACAAGTCAAATAATTTCTAAACATTTACAGGATATAGTCTCTAATTATAAACTTTGTTTATACAATTAATATAGCTCCACTAATTAATGTACAATTTAGGAGATCGGTCTAGTAATCTTTTTTAAAAAATCCATTTTTATATTTTCTTGCAAATGAGTGTCTTATTAATTTCTAAGCAATCTTTATTTCATCTTGGAAGAATTGTAAAAAAAAAATTGAATTAAACTCATTTTTTTCATGCGAACTTAATCATTTAATATGATGATAAATGCACCGAATATAAAAAAAGGGTGTTAACTCTAGGAATAGTAATAATACATGGCATCGAACTAAATATTGCATTGATATTACGTAAAGCTAATATTAACTGAACTGAATTGAATAATAATTATATCACAAATAGTCTCACCCTACACAGCCATAAATTTAAAATAAGAAAATCAACTTCCTATGAAGTCAGTTCCGTTCTGTCCCTGTTTAACAGGAACACATCTAATCAAGTCCAAACTTTTATATTTATAAAAGAACTAAAAGGACCACAAACAAAATCGAAGAATTTTGAGAAAAAAAACCCAAAACAATATGTAAGAGTATATTCTTCAGTCACTGAGATCAGAAACAAAAAACAATTCTCAACCACTATGGAAGTTCTAATTTAAGATTTTAATAACGAAATAACTAAACTGCAACCGAAATCTTAAAACACACTGAATGAATAATGAGGATGCAGCAAAATGCAATACATATACATACGAATTACAGATGATGTTTAATACATAATACTCAATTTAATAGTTAAAAAGCATCAAATCTTATAAATTCAAATTAAATGTCCAGACATTTTATAACATTTTTTTTTTCTCATCAACTACCGGCCACACAACACTTTAACTTTTTTTCCAACAATTTCAAAGTTTATTTTTTTGCCTCTATCGTTAAATAATTAATATTCAAAGCTTTCTTTCATATCCAGTCTCATCAATACAACCATATTCAAGTTTCGTTTAGGTGGGAGATTCGCTGATATACCAAACTATGCGATAAAATAAAAAAAACTTTCCTTTTTTTTTTATCAAATAAAGGTGGCAATAAGGCAAACAGCAAATTAGTCCTATTTATTATATATATATATTTTTTTTTTGTATAAAGTTTTATTGAAGACTGTTGTGCTGACGATACATGAAGCATTGTGTGACATCTCGAGTTTTACGTTTTCTAGAACTTGTTTTTCCACTTCTCACTGAGTCTTTGCTTTCTTCTTCAAAAAGGGTACCTTAGCCTGAACTCTGAAATACACAAATAATTACAGGATTTAAATTTTCTCAGACAATATGGTGCCAAATCTATTTGTTAAGGCCAGCTAAATTTTTGTCAAGGTCGTTGAGATGTAAATGAGGTTAGGGCACGTGATTGTTGGTGAGATTGTGGGTTAGGGTAAGCATTAGAGCTAGGGTTAGGGTTGGGATTAGTGCTAGCCCTGTTTACATCTCGTAACTTGGCCTTATCATTTAGCACTAACCCCAAAATGGCGTTGATTGTACTGAAGGGACAATACGCTAATATTACGCAAATATGTATATTTCTAAAGCCACTGATCAATGAGGGATTTTGAATCATTTCAGGGAAACATATTGAATAATTTTATTTCAATAATCTGCATGCACGTATGGGTCTTTATTTCATTAATTTACTTGTGCATAGGGGTGTTTAGCAGTGGGGATGAAACCGGAGGACCCTTAGAAAGAGCGCGCTCTTAAGACAATTCGTCCCTGGGGACGAATTGTCCGGGAATGAGTTGTCAGGAGACAAGTTGTCCACGGCTGAATTGTCCCGTATCCATTAGAAAGACCATAAAGTTGACCCGACGATGCCACTCCTGGTCATGCCACGACACCATGATAGACCTTATGATCTAAAGTGCATGTGTGTTAAACCACTTGACCACTATAATATAAAGGTGTACTTACTGTGACAAGACTTTATTAATCTCTGTGGTAGCCAAACCCACGTAATTATCAATCTGAACCTGTAATAAACATAGAGAAATAATTACAGTTAGCTCCCCTTGACAGACAGTAAGAGAGAGATAGAGAGAGAGAGAGAGAGAGGGGGGGGTAACCTCCACTCACACAAACCAGGTCATTTCAGGACTAACATCAATCTGTTTCACAGAGAATTACGAGTCTCGTATAATATCTCTGTCATAGATGACTGCCTTAACACGTGCTGTCACAGCATGCGGTGTGAATCATTGGCTGAATGGCGCGTGCATTGTTTACATAAGACAGAACTGCTTCGAAGAGAATGCTGCATTTTAGTCATTTTAATACCCATTTACACTAAATCGGAAATAATTTTTACCTACAAATACGTCAAACACCTTTATTTTTCCAATATATACAAAAAAATGTTTTAGAATTTAATTTGTCGCAGGAAAAAAGTTAATATTTCTAGCTCATTAAGCCGCATCAATGTCATCCTTATCAGTGATTGTCGCGGCCAAGCAAATATTCACTGCGGATCAGTGTGGACTAACATATGATTCAATTTTATTTCAATAATTTGCTTTAGTATAGGGACCTTTAGCAGTGGGAGGAAACAGGAGGACCCAGAGAAAACCCATGAAGTTGAACAGGCGACCCTACTCCTTATCATGTACAACCGGGGAATCGAAACCATGCCACTTGACTCAATGACAGACCTTATGATCAAAAATCCTTAAGTACATTGACAGCCGACATTGGGGCCTCCCCGTTAGTGAGTGAACCTCTTACTGACCCACCCATCACAACGTCCATATCTTAAATAAATCAGACTTATATCTATAACAAGTAAATATTTATGTAGTAGATAGCAACAATTTCCAGGCTGTTATTGAAAACAAAAATCCGAAGGACATAGTACAAATATCAACCATGGAAATAAAATTAGAAATCTATGAGTGGTGAGTAGCCGTCTCAGATTTCACTCATGAAGCGACTAGTTTCGTTCATTTCGAACTCATCAGGCTAAAATGAAATTGTGCGAATGTTCCCTTTATATAGTCGTCGGGACCAGAGCACAAAAAGGATCTCAGATGGACCCGCGCAGTGCTGTATCACCGGAGCAACTGCTTCCGTTTAATGGTGAACAGAGAGGCTAAAGAATTGCCGTTATAAAACGCTTATTTGCATAGACTCTAAGGCTACCAACCCATTTGACTGTGTCGTTTAAAATAATATAAACAAGTGGGAATTATTTAGATAACCGGACTGGGTTGATGAATTGTGTGATATGTACTAAGTTTTTCTAGTATTAGAATAGATAGCATAATTTGGAACTCACAAGACATGCATGTTTAGTCTACAATCAAACTTGCTATTTGGCAATTGTAATGTCGTGTTATATTATCATGACGTGATAAAAATACCTAGTTGTCTTCACTTAGTTTTGGAATTGTCATTTTGGAATTACACATCGACACAAACTACAAAGATTATGGTCAAGTAATCTAGCACTGTTTAAATTGTGCACGTGAAATTCAAATCATGTTGTTATTGGAGGTTAAATTTACCTCAAGAACAATCCCGTAATGACTTTACAGAAGGTTGATACGCGGAACAAACAACTGAGAACATCAAGAAACGTCTAATGGCTTTAAAGAAGGTTGATTAGTTCCCTTAAACAGTTGCTATAGAAGATATAAATTCTTACCTTGTGTTTCTCATAGATCTTAGGTAAAGTGAAAACTGCTTCAACAGCTGAAAAATAAAACACAATTTGTACAAAATATATTACAAATCCTAATCACATATCGTAAAAGTTACTTAAGTTGAGTTTCTGAAAGATACACTTACTACCATAGCCATTTATATGTATTGTTTAATGATCGAGAGCGAGACATTAAAGTAGTCAAGTCTCTAACTCAATAACATCAAAAATCTTCCGACATTGAAAACACGAATTATTTGTCAATTTATATCAACATTGATGTTGTGATCTTACAGGGAAAAGATGGGCTTCTGATATCCAATATTCAAGACAAATTAAATATTGTACCATAATGTGTTTCAGTGCCATTTGGAACAAGGGACTCAAAGAATGCAGCTAGACATATTCCACAAGTCATGTCAAATGGTGACGCTATATTCTTATCTGGAGAGCATGCGCAATAAATATCATCGGTGTAGACCGGAATAACCAGACGCTAAAGATTGCCATTCAATTAAGACTTATGGCGTATTTCGCAGAACATAACTGATTAGAAATTGCAGTAAAAACAGAAACGGTTGAATGTAAATCAGTTTATATACATTCACATTACATTATTATATGCGTTGCGACCCATTTGTGTCTATTTCCAGGTCCCAAATATTAGCGATTTAGCTCCTTTAAGTAATATATTGTAACAAACAAGAGGGCCGTGAGGCCCGAGTGTTTTTACAATATATTTTGCAATGTCTTAAGCTTGAGACCATTAAACAACTTAAAATACAGACACTTGCACATGCTTTGCAATGAAATATGTTACTCTGGTTCAAAATTTTAACTAGTCACACTTGGCACGTATGATTATTTGAAATAATGGTACGCCAACATCAAAGGATGACGTCACATTTGTTTTTGAAGTGTAAATATTGTTAGGAAGGATGTGGGGGGCTGAAAAGTAGAACTCGTGGACTGACTAAACATGTTTCACCAGAAAAAGAGTGAAATGGGGTTTAATGTCCACTCGACATAAACTAGGTCAATTCGAGACCTATATATGGTTTAATTTTATTTCAATAATTCGCTTGCGCATAGGGGTCTTTTAGCAGTAGAAGGGAACCGGAGGACCCGGAGAAAACCCATGAGGTTGGACAGGAGTTTAACTTCCTACTTTTCTACCCCGACTGGGCTAATGAGACGGGCATACGCCATACAGTCTGCCACGAAGGAAATTTTGCCCGGACAGCCGAACTATGGCCTATTATATCGAATCCCAACTGCCAAGGGATCATTTACGTGCAGGCACAATGTGTACACGGGACCTCGGTTTTTCGTCCCATCTGAATGACTAGACAGTTGAAATGAAAAGGGGTTACGCGTCCTACTATTCTGCCCTGACTGGGTTAATGAAGCCAGAGAGATAAAATGGGATTTAGCGTCCTACTGCCCTGACTGGGTTAATGAAGCCAGAGAAATGAAAGGGGGTTTAGCGTCCTACTGCACTGACTGGGTTAATGAAGCCAGAGAGATGAAAGGGGGTTTAGTGTCCTACTGCCCTGACTGGGTTAATGAAGCCAGAGAGATGAAAGGGGGTTTAGCATCCTACTGCCCTGACTGGGTTAATGAAGGTAATTGTTATGTTAATATTCTTACCTAGAATAATTAATGTCATGCCATTAAACCATGATCCAATATATGTCAACAACCACAGAAGTATTCCAAACTATAATAGAGAAAAAACAGTCAATCATTAAACATACATTATACAAGAGCTTCATCTACCTATCAGGTCTTTCTTTAGGCCTGAAATATTATCTAAATTATTAATAATACATTAAACATACATTATGCAAGAGCAAAATCTGATTATTGCAAGTCTTAATTTAGGCTTCAGATGTTATAGAAATTATAAATTAGATCTTTATTTAAACAACAAGCCCAAAATCAACTCTGTAGACCCACGGATGGCTCGGCTACAGCTCGGATTTAAATAGAATTTCACTTATCAATTAATTGAAATATGGCGCATCCTGATGAGAATACGTCAGTTAGATCGGGGCTAAATGATAGAGGGTACTTAGCGAGGCCGCTGTAGAGCGTTTCCGCATGCCATTGAAAACTTTACTTGATAATCGAGATATGTAGGTGGAGTTAATGTCTGTCAATCAAACGATCGGCAAAGGTGAAGGCACATTTCACTACCATTTATAGTCAAATATTACAACGATGATAACTATGTTCAGAATAAAGTAATTTGACTGAAATTTTCAATATATTCTTCTTTCATCATCTTCTTTTGAACTGTTATAGCAAGAATGGCCAATTCTCTATAAAAACCTCCCATAATGTATCTTTAATTAACTTATCCAGGCCATAATCAACTCTCGATGTCATCACCAGCCTGTGATATTTACTGGATTTGGATCCGATCTGCTGCTCAATGCTCAATGGATATTCGAGACTATGGGTTTTTTTTTTATCGTACCGACTTTAGTAATGATGATCGAGGCTAGGTCGAAAATTCAATCGCTAAGTTCTCGGTTCAGAGTGGATCAATTCAACTGAAATTTTCAGCAAATTCCCTTTACATTATCTAGTTTTTAACTATTATAGTGAGAATGCCAGCTCTTTATCTAATCTCCCATAATGTATGTTTAAAATAATATGTTCCATATAATAGAGAGGTTTCACAACTTTACACTAACATTTAGATGGTTAAACGTCAACAGTTTTTATGACGTATGAAGTTTCATCAAAACTGGATAAGAATTGTGACCTGTAGAATGTACACAAACAAATTGTGGACGGACAGGGGCAACAATATACGTCCACATGAAAATGTGGGTTGTATAAAAATTGAATCTGCAGCATAATTGATTTTTAACGTACCTTGATGCTGTCGACTAAATCTTCAATAAGAAACAATCGTCTAACTTCCTTGGCTGTACAGTTCACATGACGTAAGACATTTTCTACAGCAGGCTTCACCTTATCTTCTGGTAGTTCCAAATCTGCCTCTAGATATTGTCTGTAATATATAAAATTTTATTTAAGTTAGTAATGCAATTCATTTAATTAATCTTATAGATTCATTAATTACTTCTTGTTGGTGTCCCTATGTTTGTCTTAGTTTCATAAATATGCCTGTAGATATTGTCTGTAATTTAAGTTAGTAATGCAATTCATTTAATTGATCTTATAGATTCATTAATCTGTTGTTGTTGGTGTCCCTATGTTTGTCTTAATTTCAAAAATCTTTGTTTCGTTTCACATTGAACATGTACATGTACCTTGGTTTTTTCTTCAATCCCTAATCCTAAATGCTTGTCCTTAGCAGGCCTTCTGTCCTGCTAGGACCTACAAAAAAGGATGTGGGGGTGGGGTGGGGAGAGAGAATCGGGCTTGAAAATCTTGAACTTTCTCAACTAACATGAGAGAATCGATCCCGTGCCTCCTTGTTAATGAGCTTGCACACTATTCACTGAGCAAGATTTGATGGTCAATAAATGACACAATCTGTATATCTGATATTTTTTTTAATTTATCTATTTATCCTGCTGGCTGGTTTATTCCACGATCTTTATAGACGACACAAGCTATATCTCTGAGATCTATTTATTCTGCTGGCTGGTTTATTCCACGATCTTTATACATTGTTATATATTGACGTTTATTTGTATAAACGTGAGTTTAGGTCAACCAGACATGGTATATATTCGTACCGTGGAGGGATGGTAAATATTCAAGTATGTATGGTAAAAATCAATGGACTGTCTACCAGAATGATCTAAGAATCAGTCAGCTTGCTCTCTCAGTACAAAACAAACCAATTAATGGCATAATAAAATACAAGGTTGTGTAGTTGTGATCTAGTCTACCTACAGGGCTGTAGATATAGACTCTATCTACAGGGCTGTTTGTTATATATAATATAATACAAGGCTGTGTAGTTGTGATCTAGACTCTATCTACAGGGCTGTTTGTTATAGATATAATACAAGGCTGTGTAGTTGTGATATAGACTCTATCTACAGGGCTGTATATAACAGTTTTATCTTAAATCAACAACATAAATACATGTAGTTAATATTGAAATAATGTGCAACAACCTTGTTTTAATGGCAAGAACTATACAAATATATAGAAATAAAATCGAAGTGTGTAATTGTATGTTCACTCATCACACTTTATCGCCTCGATCAACCCCCTATATACATGTAGAATGTATGTGGTATCAAAATAACAAGCATGACCCTGTGAATGTTTTAGGCCACTGATCTTTACACACAACCAAATTATTGAAATAAAATTGTATCGTATGTTAGTCCCAATGAAATGAAATGAAATGGGTTTGATGTCCTACTGTTCTGCTCCTATACTGGGCTAATGAAGACGGGCATACGCCATACAGTGTGCTATGAGGGAAATTTTGCCCGGACAAAGGGACTACGGCATACTCTTACATGTATATCGAATTCCAGCTGTCAAGGGATCTTTTAGGTGCACGCCAACGTGTACATGGGACCTCGGTTTTGCATCCCATCCGAACGACTAGACAGCTGTCCTTGTCAGGCCCTCCGTCCTGCATCACTGACAAGGGGGAACCACGCCGGAAAATCTGGATGAACTTTCTCGGTCAATGCAGGTGTCTAACACGCAACCACCAGGCTAGCGAGCCAGCGTCTTACCCACTTAGCCACCTATTATTGTATTATCGGTCAGATATTATGTGTGAGCTTCAACTATTTATGTCATATAATTATCAATAATAGATCATTTATTATTCAACAAGTATACTGCCGTAATTGCCAATGTCTTACTCTTTATCTTATCGTGTGTCTGTGAACCTAAATTAGTTTATCACATCACACCAATTACATTTCACCAGTTTTGCATTTACATGTGTGCTATGGATGGAAATTCTGTCTAGGCTGCGGCTACGATGCAGAAAAGCATATCATTTCCATTTTATAATTTTATTGATTAGTAATTATTAGAGAGAGAAGTCAATTCGGGACCAACACATGGTTTAATTTTATTTCAATAATTCGCTTGCGTGTAGGGGTCTTATTAGCAGTGGGAGGAAATTGGAGAACCCAGAGAAAACCCACGAGGTTGGACAGGCGACTCTACTCCTTGTCACGTACAGCTGACTCAATGATAGGCCTTATGATACAGCGTGCACAATAGCACATGCTAACCATTCGGCCATCTCCCCCTCTTAAATCAAACACTGATTGATCCACACGTGGGCGGGCCTAACGAGACCAGTTACGTGGGCGGGCATAACGAGACCAGTTACGTAGGCGGGCATAACGAGAACAGTTCCGCGGTCGGGCATAAAGAGACTAATTCTACAATCTACTTACTTAAAAGGATGACCTTCACCGCTCTTTTGCACTGCGCCCATAATGTTTTTGTAGACTCTGAAACTGAGCGTGACTGTGAGAACTGCTAGTGACAGGTAGGCCACCACACTTAATACGGAGAAGAAGGCAAGAGAAAGAAGTAAGAACATCATACTGCCAAATACGACACTAGTCTTAAGAACATCTCGCCAATAGATCAGGTCCAAAACTGAAAATAAATTAAATACAACATTAAATATGGAATATCAATTACAAGGGAAGACAACATTGGTTGTTTATTAAAGAGACATCAGTCAAGAGCTAAATCTGCCTATTGCAGGTCTTTCTTTAGGCCTTAAATTTGAAATGTTATATAGATTATTAATTAGACCATTATAAGACCATAATCAACTCTCGATGCCATCTTGTATGTCCAATTTTAAGTAGATTAGAACGATTCAACCATTTAATGATTTAATTCAGAAATGGAGAAGCATGGCTAAGCCTAGAATAACCAGTCCTGTGGTAACGATAACAATCAATGCACACTCCACGTCAAAACTAGTGTTATCTTAAAAATACTACTGGCACCTGGTCAAAAAAAAAATGTATTGGGGGACCTGATGATCTCCCAACACTAAAATTTGTGAAATTTTTTCCTGAAATGAAATGGCAAACGTCTTACTAGGCTACTGAAGACGGAGATGTGCCATGCCGTGTGATATAAGGGACTAGACATACGGGTGTCCTTGTCCGGTCATTTGTCCTACACCCCTGACAAAAGGCGCTGGGTATTAGTACAGAGATCTATCATACAATTATGCATAAAAAGAAGCCCGGATTTCATATTGCCACCATGCACTGATACTCAATACCAACTCAGGGCTGTCTTTTTACATGATTAAACTACAGTATTTACTAGGTTCCCTGTGATATATAAATATCATACTGTATTTACTAGGTTCCCTGTGATATATAAATATCATAATTACTAGGTTCCCCTGGTGGTATATAAATATCATATTTACTAGGTCCCCTGTTGTATATAAATATCATATTTACTAGGTTCCCCTGTTGTATATAAATATCATATTTACTAGGTTCCCTGTGATATATAAATATCATATTTACTAGGTTCCCTGTGATATATAAATATCATATTTACTAGGTTCCCTGTGATATATAAATATCATATTTACTAGGTTCCCTGTGATATATAAATATCATATTTACTAGGTTTCCCTGGTGGTATATAAATATCATATTTACTAGGTTCCCCTGTGATATATAAATATCACAGACTAGGTTTCCCTGTGATATATAGATATCATATTTACTAGGTTCCCCTGTTGTATATAAATATCATATTTACTAGGTTACCCTGTGATATATAAATAACATATTTACTAGGTTTCCCTGTGATATATAAATATCATATTTACTAGGGTCCCCTGGTGGTAGAGAGAGAGAGAAATGGGGTTTAACGTCCACTCGACACAAACTAGGTCATTTTGGGACTAACATATGGTTTTTTATTTTTATTTCAATAATTCATTTGCGCATAGGGGTCTTTAGCAGTGGGAGGAAACCGGAGGACCCGGAGAAAACCCACAAGTTGGACAGGCGAAACTACTCCTTGTCACGTAAAACCAGGGATTCGAAACCACGCCAGTCGACTCAATGACAGACTTTATGATACAGCGCGCGCACGCTAACCATTCAGCCATCCAACCCCCCTCCCCTGGTGGTATATAGATATTATATTTACTAGGGTCTTTACTGGGTTCCCCTGTGATATATAAATAACATATTTACTAGGTTCCCCTATGGTATATAAATATCATATTTAACTCATTGTGTCTAGCGTAAATTGAATATACACTAACAGTAATAATATAAGCCTATAGCGTTAGTTGTTTTATGATAAATATAATGAATATATGAATATTATACCCTGAGTAAAATGATGATGAATATAATGAATACATGAATATTATCCTGTAACTAATAATGGTAGATAAAGGCCATTACTGAAATTAATAACCCAAATCTCAATCATTCAAATGATCTTAATTTAGGGTAGTAGGGCCGAATAGAAAATTTTTCCTGTGGTAGATAAATGAAACACAAGGATATAAAAAATATCACCAGAATTCCAATATTTTTCAATATTTATTTTAACACCTACCACATTGGAACAGGCTAGGGGGGCCCACCGGTTCCTCCGGGGCAGCGGGGGTAGTCCTATCAGCCTTCTTCCTGTTTTCCATATCTTCACGTGTCTATCAGTTCAGTAAGTTGTGGAAGAGAGATAAGGTGTACTGCAGGTAAAACTGGGACAACCTGTGGTGACGTATACTATATATAGATTGTACAGGTAAATCTTGTTACTATAGTAAACGACGACAGGTAGAGAGAGTATTTACAGAACAGATGGATTTACACCACGTTTTTCCCTCCACAATTCAAATACTGGCCACTTTATTTATACAATTAGGTCAGCCAAATAAAAGTTTTACTCTCCAGTTATTCATGAGTTATTACAGTATCTATTTTCGGCTTTATATATCAGTATTTCCCATTCATACTATAAATATTGAAGACATTTAAAGGGACTATCCCAATTAGAACAGAGTAAAAGTCTGAGTATGTATGAAATTTAAGCGTCAAAATATAGGGGAATGGTGTATGGACCTTATCTCAAAATTTCAGCTCAAAACTGCTTATCTGGATACGTAACCCTTTTAAGATTTTGGGTCAATTTTTTCATTGGGTGACCTGATAATTGATCCCCGTTCCTTTAGATGTCTTCACAGTAAATGACCCATCTGCTGTACTTGATAGCGAAAGGTAAATTTCACCTACACATTATTTTTATAAAACAAAAGTCTGGTTTTATCCAGACACCGCATAATACAGCTTGGGACACCGCGCTCCATTTCCAGATGAAGACTGACAGGTTTAAGTTGTTTGAAAACATATTACATATATTGAGTTAGTTGCTCAGCCCTAAGGTAGAGGATTTTAAGCGATTTTAACACAAAATTAAGCAGTTTTATTCTCCAATAATATCAGGACTGGCCCATTAAAGTAAGTTTTATTAAAGTAATCTACATGTATATGGGAGACCATAAAACACCGAAAATGAAACATAAAGTCAATTTTTTGTTTAAAATGTTGATTTTGTGCATGAAATGTTGACATAAGAATGTAGAAACAAGAATCATTAGTTTAGAATGTTGCATTCATGTCTAAAATATTCAAACTTGAATGTAGAAATAAGAATCATGAATATTGTCCCATTTGGTCTTCCATAAATCTATGCTTTTATTACCGTTTTATGAACTACGCCTTTGATAAACAGTAAAGACAATGGACTCGCGATCAGAATGGGTTTGATTCTGGGCATGGTCCAAAAGAAATATCATTAAAGCCAGCACGGACTCCAGAATCGATGGAAAAACTGCTATCTAGGCAAAATTCTCCTGCCTTTCTTTTTCTCAAAATGACCAAAGTATTGTGTAAAGACAAACAACATTTTTTTCCTGACATATTTGATTTATAGTGAATATTTTTCCGATTAAAAAACCAGAAACAGATTGATATTACTTATAAATACTATAAAACGTCTAGTGATAAATCATTTTCATTAATTCCATGTTACAATTTTTTTTCGTTTCAGATAAAAGAGTTTTGTCATAATTCATCATACATAACTTACAGATACAACCATAACATGTACATGACATTTTAATACTCAGTTATTTTGTAAATCATGATGACCTAACAGTAGGCCAAACCAGTTTAATTTTAAGTTATTCATGGTCTTGATAGATAGAGAGAGAGAAACAAACACAAACTAGGTCATTTCGGGACTAACATATGGTTTAATTTTATTTCAATAATTCGCTTGCGCGTAGAGGTCTTTAGCAGTAGGAGGAAACCGGAGGACCCCGAGAAAACCCACAAGGCTGGACAGGCGACCCTACTCCTTGTCACGAACAACCGGGGGATTCGAAACCACGACAGTTGACTCAATGACAAGCCTTATGATACAGCATGCACGTGCTAACCATTCGGCCACCCAACCCCCCGTCTTGATAGGTAAATAGCCACTCAAAACAACATGAAAGATGTTTTATTTAAAATTTCAAAACTCACAAATTAAAAAAAGGCTTTTGAACAGCACAACCAAGTACTTTTGGATTTTAAATAAGATTTTGACTCAAAGAAATAAAGTGGGGTTGGATGGCTGAATGGTTAGCGTGTGCGCGCTGTATCATAAGGTCTGTCATTGAGTCATCTGGCATGGTTTCGATTTCCTGGTTGTATGTGACAAGGAGAAGGGTCGCCAATCCAACCTCGTGGGTTTTCTCTGGGCCAGCTCAATTTTTCGTCATAAATATGAGATGTAAACAGGGCTAGTGCCAATTCCAACCCTAACCCTGGAACTAACCCCAACGCTTCCCCTAACCCTAACCTACAATCTCGCATACAATCACGTGCCCTAACCTTATTTACATCTCAGCGACCTTGAAAAAAAATTGAGCTGGCCTTAACAAATAGATTTAGCCATCTGTCTGTCTCTCAGTAACAAATCCAGTGAGACAAGTACTGTCGTCACTGTCAGTAACCATTGAAAACATGTTTTATCAGTTAATGTGATCAAACTGGTGAGAAGACAGGTAAAAACATGGTACACGATGGTAACATATGTTCTAACACTAAAGTGTTAACATCTAACACACAGTACATCTAGGTGTTATAGTCGGCTTGAATTAGTGTTATTAAACGGACATTGATATCAACTGTTGCCAAGTACCTTATTAGTTCTATAGTACCTCTATATTAATTACACCACAGAGAGAGAGAAATGGGGTTTAACGTCCACTCGACACAAACTAGGTCATTTCGGGACTAACATATGGTTTAATTTTATTTACATAATTCGCTTGCGCGTAGAGGTCTTTAGCAGTGGGAGGAAACAGGAGGACCCGGAGAAAACCCCGAGGTTGGACAGGCGACCCTACTCCTTGTCACGTACAACCGGGGATTCAAAACCACGCCAGTAGACTCAATGACAGACTTTATGATACAGCGCACGCACGCTAACCATTCAGCCATCCAACCCCGCAATTACACCACAGTATGAAATGAAATGGGGTTTATATAACATCCAGTCTGATTAAAATACACATCTATATTTCGTTTATTTTTTTTATACTTTCTATGGCATCTACTACATGAAGATCTAACCAGTTGTAGTGGAAGGTTGCATCAGAGGTCATACAAGCATCTTTTGACCCTATGACATCAGACATTTGATTAACCAATCAGAGTTTATGTTTCTAGTGGGTTACCCACTTTAAGTTTTAATATTCTCTATGAATAAACCAGCGGATGCCAGGCAGGATACGCCCACATTTTCGAGAGATGGATAGAAAACAAGCTAAAACGAAAGTGATTTTTCCTACAATCAAGGGCCATAATTCAGGAAATTACAATTCGATATGCGCAAATATCGAAAGGAACCGAGATCTTTGGGTTATAAACTTACATTTCAAGTTTCAACAAAATCGGATAAAAATTGTGACCTCTATAGGGTCCACAACCTTGATATACCATATTTTTACGCTATTTGAGAACGAATGGCGGCCATTTTGTCTGTCAGTTTTGGGCCGATTTTCACGAAATTCGAACTCAACCGTCCTTAGGGTTTAACAGTGATATAATAATACGTTTTTTTAAATCGGATAAAAAGTATGACCTCTATAGGGTCCACAAGCCAAAAAATGTGTTTTTACGTACAATCAGTGGCCAGAATTCAGGAAGTTACGGTCCGATATGCACGAATATCGAAAGGAACCGAGATCTTTGGGTTATAAACTTACATTTCAAGTTTCAACAAAATCGGATAAAAATTGTGACCTCTACAGTGTTCACAAGCCAAAAACGTGATTTTCGTACAATCAGGGGCCATAATCCATGAAGTTACGGTCCGATAGATGCCAATATCGAAAGGAACCGAGATCTTAGGGTGATAAACCTATATTTCAAGTTTCATTGAAATCGGAAAAAATTGTGACCTGTAGACTGTTCACAAACAATTGTGGACGGACGGACGGACAGGGGCGACGACAATATACGTCCACATGAAAATGTGGGCGTATAAAAAGTAAAAGTAGGATATTTACCCATTTAACATATTAAAAGAATCAGGTATTATATCAACCTCTGACATCATACCATGTGCTACCCCTGAAATACAAGCAAAATAATAAAACAGTATTAGAGCTGCTAGTTATATGAAGCTATTGAAATTTTAATAAGCATAAGCAAAATACAAATTCGTAATGTTTTATGAGTCAAAGGCATGTTCGGGGTTCATTAAACATACATTATGCAAGAGCTAAAACTGCCTATTGCAGGTCTTTCTTTGTGCCTGAAATGTTATATAAACTATTAATTAGACATTTATTAACATGAAAACACCTTAATCAACTCTCGTTGTCATCTTATGTGTCAGATTTTCTCTGGATTTGAATCCAATTTGCTGCTCAATGCTCATTGATGATTTAATCCAAAAATGGATAATCGAGACTATGTTTTTTATCGTAAAAACTTTAGTTAGTCATTTTCGGACTAACACATGGTTCAATTTTATTTCAATAATCCGTTTGAGCATAGGGGTTTTTAGCAGTGGAAGAAAACCGGAGGACCTGGAGAAAACCCATGAGGTTGGATAAATGACCCTAATCCTTGTCACATACAAGCGGGGAATGGAATCATGACACTTGACTCAATGACACACCTTATGATAGAACGCACACACATTAACCATTTGGCCCCCCAAACCCCCGCTAAATAAAATAAAGAAGTTCTTACGTTTAATATCTTCTAACATAACTTTATCATTTTCTACATCTCGTCTGTTGGCTTTGGGAGATTTTGCATTTGTTAACCTGGCTGGACCTCGAACTTTACCACCTCCAAGGTTTCTTGCCCCACTTGACACGACTCTGAAAATAAACATTCTCCAATAAATTTTGGTAATAATATATACATTTATACCCCTCACTGGTACAGGTTAATATGCATGCTCAAAATGCTGGAGAAGGCTAGATCGGAGACGGTCCTGCGCATTTTATGACGTCATATGTGGATTATGGATAGCATATCATAGTGTATGGAGAGAGAGAGAGAGAGAGAGAGAGAGAGAGAGAGAGAGAGAGAGAGAGAGAGAGAGACGGTTTAACATCCACTTGACACATATTAGATCATTTTAGACAAACATATGGTTCAATTATTTATTTCAATAATTCACTTGCGGGTATGGGTCTTTAGCAGTGGGAGGAAATCGGAGAAAACTCCTGAGATTGGACAGGGGACCCTACTTGTCACATATAAGCGGGGAATTGAAACCACGCCACTTGACTTTTGACAGACCTTCTGATCCAACGTGCATGCATTAACCATTCGGCCAACCACCCACACACAGTGTATGGTGTATGCCTGCCTTCAGTAACCAAGTCAGTGCAAGTATGACATTAAAGGGTCAATCCCGATAATATTTTGGAGAATAAAACTGCTTAATTTTGTGTTAAAATCCCTTAAAATCCTCTACCTTAGGGCTGAGCAACTAACTCAATATATGTGATACGTTTTCAAACAACTTAAACCCGTCAATCTTCATCTGGAAATGGAAACCAGTGTCCCAAGCTGTATTATATGGTGTCTGGATAAAACCAGGCTTTTATTTTATAAAAAATAATGTGTAGGTGAAATTTACCTTTCGTTATCAAGTACAGCACATGGGTCATTCATAGACCTCTAAAGGAATGGTAATCGATTATCAGGTCACCCAACGAAAAAATTTACTCGAAATCTTAAAAGGGTTATGTGTCCAGATAAGCAGTTTTGACGTTCACGTCCAAACGACTCAATATTCTGAGCTGAAATTTTGAGACAAGGTCAATACACCAATCCTCTATATTTTGGCGATTAAATTTCATACATACTCTGACTTTTATGTTTGAGACTCAGTTCAAATCGGGATAGTCCCTTTAAATTCATGTCATTTCAGTACCTACCTATCAAGTCTATTTTTATCATGATGACCCTTGTTCTTTCTTCTCTTGTCTTTATTATCTGGGTGCAGACTAAAAACAAATTCACCAACATAATAAAAATGTTAGAAATATAAAACTTGAAAAAAAATTATATTTTTCTTTGTGATTTAACCCTTCATATAAATAATTATTATTTCAAACAATAATGTACTATTTTCTTTTTCTTTGTAATTTAATTCTTCATTTTATTTATAATTTTAAACAATGTAGGCCTACTTCTAATTTTTTTTTCAAATAATTTCTTCTAAATAGGGGAGATATTGTTCCATTTACCACTGCCCCCATGTAACTAGACCTAGAGAATAAATTTGAACAGAATACACAACTAACCTGACGAACTCTAAAGTATTTGTTTCTTCTTTCCAGACCCATTTACCCAATGTCGGTTGTAAATTCTAAATAAACGACAAAATTTTATAAGAAGCATTAGCAGACATGATCGAGCTTGCTGTTGTAATATTCTCAGATTGGTCTAATACTCATACACATGTCATACAGTAATGCCACCTTTCATGGAAGAGTTCCCTCCCCTTTGTTCTTTATTGGAGTTTTTGGGAGTTATCTCCCATATGTGGAATATTTGGTACTTGGAGAGGTTGAATAAAACATGGTCTATCTCACATGTGGTTTTTAGATTCAATAAATACATTTTAATCCATGCCATCCATTCATGGTGAACCAGAGAACTACCCCCACAGAGCAATAAATCCCTCACATCTGTCTGTACATCAATAACTCATATTTCTTCATGTTTTTAAATCAACTCTTTTCACCACCAATAGAGAGAGAATGATACAATTTTATTTTAATAATTTGCTTGCACCATTGGGGTCTTTAGAAAGAATCTGAAGGAAACTGGACAACCCAGAGAAAACCTGCAAGGTTTGGCAGGTGACCCTACTCATACAAGCTTGGGATATAAACCAATGACAGACCTTATGATCCAAAGCACACACAGACTACATAGCATGTTCAAAGAATCTTTTAATTTCAACTTCACAATTATATCAGGTGATTAATGATTTCAAATGTGATGACTGAATAAAACAAAAACACCTTTCAACTTGAAACTTATGGTTATAGAACTTTGGTTACAAGGTCTAATTCCAATATGCCAAGTTGTTACTTTTTTTTTCTTAAACTGTGAGCCAATAATAAGACAAGTCCACGACGAACATATTCGGTCCTAACTCATAGTGTGGTCCATAGCTTCAAATATTTAAGTTAATAGAAACTGCACCTACCTGTCAACCTGTTGCATCTATAATTACATTTATGCGAAAGAGCAAAATTCAGTGACTCACACGTGTATTCAGAGGCCGCAGCAAACATTCGCCCAAAATAGGCATTCACGTGACAATAGACAATAGTAATTAGCTAACCTATCTACAAGATGACACATTAAAATTTTAATGTGACCAAGGCGGTTAACTCATTTTGTCACTATGAGCGAATATCCTTTATCATTTTTTGAACGATTCAAAACATATTTCCAAATGATTAGACTTAGATTCTATATCCTCAAAATAAAATCAAATGTGGTCAGACTTCGATTGTTGATGAATGATGTTTTTTTATGTTAAGTCTTCTTTTCATAAATGTTAAAAAAAAAAGCCCTTAATATTGTCTGTCATATCTTTCTGCCCATTGACGTCCTATCATAATCATCTTGGAAAGCACCCTGTGACCCTGGGAGGATGGATGGTAGCAGCCTACTGATTGGTAATAAAGATGTTATTCAAAGTATGTAAGTTTGTAACTATTTTATGATTAACAAAATGGTGAATCAAGATGAGGAATAGAAATCATCTTTTGCAGCAATAGAACATGAATATTTCTGTAGAAGACAGGGTCAGGGGAATTATAATAAATAATAATAGTACCGGTACTAAATAGAATTGGTAGATTTTGAAGAAATGTAAACAAATAACAATATTAACAATCCTAAACAAATCTATCAAATTCAAATATAGCAATTATTGAGATTAATTCGACAGATAATGATAAAAGAGACCTAGTTTGTGTCGAGTGGACGTTAAACCCCATTTCTCTCTCTCTCTCAAAGTATGTAAGTTTGTAACTATTTTATGATTAACAAAATGGTGAATCAAGATGAGGAATAGAAATCATCTCTTGCAGCAATGGAACATGAATATTTCTGTAGAAGACAGGGTCAGGGGAATTATAATAATAATAATAGTACCGGTACTAAATAGAATTGGTAGATTTTGAAGAAATGTAAACAAATAACAATATTAACAATCCTAAACAAATCTATCAAATTTAAATATAGCAATTATTGAGATTAATTCGACAGATAATGATAAAAGAGACAATTGATCTTCACAAAATCTCATTGATAAAAACTTACCGTATCGGTTGTTGTTGCTAGTTTAGACATTTTTTCTATAAAACGTTGTTAGAAAAAATTATTTAGAATTTTCGTCAGCCATCTTAGCATTTACCATGGAAACACCAGGGAGGTAACTCAAAATTACATAACTAGAGTTACTTCCCTTATACCATAAAATTATCTCAGCTGGTGTTTTTTTATTTCATGATGAAAAAAATTGTTGCGAGACTAGAAAATTACTAGATCTAGATATTTTTCACGCTATTATTGTTTAATCCCCTAGACAAATTCTGTGTCCGTATAGTAAATCAAATCCATCTTGTATTCAAGGGAGGCCCATCAAAAGTTTTTGCCCAACACTTATAAGTGGCAGTGACACGTTTATATCTGCCAAAGGTTTTAATTCATCATAATTTTTGTGACTGATATTCATTTTAGAAATTCAGTTGGATGAGAAAGTTACAGTTCCTAAGGATTAAAACACAGATCTTATTTCCTGTCGTTTATTATAGTGAAAATTTCGTTTTACTACACTAGGATCTGGAAGAGTTGTTATATAACCAACATTTTGGTTGATGTGAGGGATAAGCCAATGAATGGGTCTGTAGTGTTGCAGGGAGTTCTTGGCATTCAATGCACGGAACTGTGGGTATCCTACTAAAACGTCAATGCTCAATCAAATGTCTGACGTCGTAGGGTCAGAAGCCCGCTCGTATGACCCCTGATGCAACCTCCCACTACAACTGGTCAGATCTTCAAGTAGTAGAGGCCATCGAAAGTATATAATAAAAAAAGAAACGAAATATAGATCTGTATTTTAATCAGATTGTGTTATTTCAAAATTTCCAAAGGCTCAGCCTATTTTAGTACGATCTATGTGTAACTTGGCAAGTCATGATCAGTTCTTTTGATAACATTATAATTCTAAGATGGCTGCGATAACGTCAGGGTCGGTTCCATCCTTGGTATCCCCAGTGGTATCATTCCGTTAGATTCCACTAACCCCGGGGTCCATTCACGGGGGATACACATTTTCAAATTATCTGCCCTTGTTTGTGCTATTTTTATCTACTAATAAAAACAAATCATTAAATACAAAGGAGGTTGGCAAAGGGAAGTAACTCTCATCTTGTTGGAACAAGCTGCCATATTGTTGTGAACGTAAACTACGAGGGTCAGACTGGCTTGTCAACTGTTTTTTGATTGGTTTGTAGAAACAACCTATGTGCCAATGAAATCATCAAGGGTAGATAATTTGAATCTGTGAATACCCCCATGGATGGACCCATGGGTAAGTGGAGTAGAACGGAACGATACCACTGGAGATAAAGAAGATGGGTCGGTTCCTGATTCATAAAGTGAGAGAGAGAAATGGGGTTTAACATCCACTCGACACAAACTAGGTCATTTCGGGACTAACATATGGTTTAATTTTATTTCAATAATTCGCTTGCGCATAGGGGTCTTTAGCAGTGGGAGGAAACCAGAGGACCCGGAGAAAACCCACGAGGTTGGACAGGCAACCCTACTCCTTGTCACGTACAACCGGGGATTCGAAACCACGCCAGTTGACTCAATGACAGGCTTTATGATACAGCGCGCACGTGCTAACCATTCGGCCATCCAAACCCCCGGGTTCATTGAGTAGAACAGGACAATACCACTGGAGATACAGAGGATGGGTCGGTTCCTGATTCATAAAGTACACTCAGACTTGTTAAACTGATATATCCACAAAAGAGAATTCACAACATAAAAATATTTTTATAGTACATTTATTAAATTATTTAAACGTATGTATGGATGTAAGAAAGGAAGAAATAGTACTTTATAGAATTTAGAAACAGTTTATTTTAGAGATATATAATATTTTACAATATTAATAGACAGGATAGGAGAGTGAATCACAAACTTGGAACAAGCAGTGCAAGTAATAGAATACAGGAAAACATGGCATCAATAGGATTAACGCAAATCTTGATATTATACTAATCTCGGTTAACAAACATGGGATATCAATTAGTATAGTGATAACCGATAGGAGTTACGCACCCATATTGATGAAGTATACGATATTAACTCTTTACGAGATACAAGTCGAACTACAAAGCGTTTATCATCAGTCTTCGAGTGATCATTTCTTTATTCAATTTAGCTAAAAATCGAATTAAATTGAGTGATCATTTCTTTATTCAATTTAGCCAAAAATCGAATTGAATTGAGATATTTTTCTAACATTACATTGAAGACAAACTCCATCATTTTGAGCAATATATATTTGTTAGACTTGATAAACAGGACTTAGACAATGAGATTTTCTAAACATCGATTAGACATGACTTTTAACTACATCTATCGTTACCACATTCACGGCAAGGCGTATATATTTATACATATTAGAAATCTAAATTTAAAAAAAAAAAATATTTAAATTAAATTAATTAATTAATCTCCTGTCATATAAGCATATCATATCATATACACACAGTGAATCACATACGTGAAGTTTACAATATTCTATGTAAAATTTTCATCAGTTGTTAGTTTAAAAAACAAGTCAAATAATTTCTAAACATTTACAGGATATAGTCTCTAATTATAAACTTTGTTTATACAATTAATATAGCTCCACTAATTAATGTACAATTTAGGAGATCGGTCTAGTAATCTTTTTTAAAAAATCCATTTTTATATTTTCTTGCAAATGAGTGTCTTATTAATTTCTAAGCAATCTTTATTTCATCTTGGAAGAATTGTAAAAAAAAAATTGAATTAAACTCATTTTTTTCATGCGAACTTAATCATTTAATATGACGATAAATGCACCGAATATAAAAAAAGGGTGTTAACTTAGGAATAGTAATAATACATGGCATCGAACTAAATATTGCATTGATATTACGTAAAGCTAATATTAACTGAACTGAACTGAATAATAATTATATCACAAATAGTCTCACCCCACACAGCCATAAATTTAAAATAAGAAAATCAACTTCCTATGAAGTCAGTTCCGTTCCGTCCCTGTTTAACAGGAACACATCTAATCAAGTCCAAACTTTTATATTTATAAAAGAACTAAAAGGACCACAAACAAAATCGAAGAATTTTGAGAAAAAAAACCCAAAACAATATGTTAGAGTATATTCTTCAGTCACTGAGATCAGAAACAAAAAACAATTCTCAACCACTATGGAAGTTCTAATTTAAGATTTTAATAACGAAATAACTAAACTGCAACCGAAATCTTAAAACACACTGAATGAATAATGAGGATGCAGCAAAATGCAATACATATACATACGAATTACAGATGATGTTTAATACATAATACTCAATTTAATAGTTAAAAAGCATCAAATCTTATAAATTCAAATTAAATGTCCAGACATTTTATAACATTTTTTTTTTCTCATCAACTACTGGCCACACAACACTTTAACTTTTTTTCCAACAATTTCAAAGTTTATTTTTTTGCCTCTATCGTTAAATAATTAATATTCAAAGCTTTCTTTCATATCCAGTCTCATCAATACAACCATATTCAAGTTTCACGTTTGTGGGAGATTCGCTGATATACCAAACTATGCGATAAAATAAAAAAAACTTTCCTTTTTTTTAAACTTTTTTTTTTATCAAATAAAGGTGGCAATAAGGCAAACAGCAAATTAGTCCTATTTATTATATATATATATTTTTTTTTTGTATAAAGTTTTATTGAAGACTGTTGTGCTGACGACACATGAAGCATTGTGTGACATCTCGAGTTTTACGTTTTCTAGAACTTGTTTTTCTACTTCTCACTGAGTCTTTGCTTTCTTCTTCAAAAAGGGTACCTTAGCCTGAACTCTGAAATACACAAATAATTACATGATTTAAATTTTCTCAGACAATATGGTGCCAAATCTATTTGTTAAGGCCAGCTAAATTTTTGTCAAGGTCATTGAGATGTAAATAAGGTTAGGGCACGTGATTGTTGGTGAGATTGTGGGTTAGGGTAAGCATTAGAGCTAGGGTTAGGGTTGGGATTAGTGCTAGCCCTGTTTACATCTCGTAACTTGGCCTTATCATTTAGCACTAACCCAAAAATGGCGTTGATTGTACTGAAGGGACAATACGCTAATATTACGCAAATATGTACATTTCTAAAGCCACTGATCAATGAGGGATTTTGAATCATTTCAGGGAAACATATTGAATAATTTTATTTCAATAATCTGCATGCACGTATGGGTCTTTATTTCATTAATTTACTTGTGCAAAGGGGTGTTTAGCAGTGGGGATGAAACCGGAGTTGTCCCGTATCCATTAGAAAGACCATGAAGTTGACACGACGATGCCACTCCTGGTCATGCCACGACACCATGATAGACCTTATGATCTAAAGTGCATGTGTGTTAAACCACTTGACCACTATAATATAAAGGTGTACTTACTGTGACAAGACTTTATTAATCTGTGTGGTAGCCAAACCCACGTAATTATCAATCTGAACCTGTAATAAACATAGAGAAATAATTACAGTTAGCTCCCCTTGACAGACAGTAAGAGAGAGAGAAAGAGAGAGAGGGGGGGTAGCCTCCACTCACACAAACCAGGTCATTTCAGGACTAACATATGATTCAATTTTATTTCAATAATTTGTTTTAGCGTAGGGGTCTTTAGCAGTGGAAGGAAACCACAGGACCCGGAAAAAAAACCCCACGAGGTTGGACGGGCGACCCTACTCCTTATCATGTTCAACCGGGGAATCGAAACTATGTCACTTGACTCAATGACAGACCTTATGATCAAAAATCCTGAAGTACATTGACGGCCGACATCGGGGCCTCCCCGTTAGTGATCCAACCTCTTATTGACCCATCACAAGGTCCGTATTTTCAATAAACCAGACTTATATCTATAACAAGTAAATATACTATTCAAAAAAAGTAGGGGATATTTGATTTTTAAGTGTTATTAAAGTCACCTAATGAAACTGACGAAGAAACAAATGACAAAATGAAATGAAGTTCACATTCATCGATTTATTCCAAATGATCGTTAGACTAAGTAAGGCACAGACTGACCATTATAAGGGTAAAATGATACCCGGGGTCAAACAGCAAAGTTACCACAGCATCACAACCAAGTCAGTAACGGGTAAATCCTCCTCTGTTTGCCAAACAAGCATTGATCCGACGTGGCATACTCCTAATGAGACGTCTAAGGTCATTTTGGTCCAGATTGTCCCATTCCTGTTGCAACGCAGCAGCAAGTTCTTGGACATTGGCAGGACGATGTTGACGTAACCTCTGTCCAAGCATGTCCCAGACATGCTCGATGGGGGAGAGGTTGGGACTCAGTGCCGGCCAAGGTAATGTGGTGATGTTCTGTTGTTGGAGGTAACCTGTAACGATCCTGGCCCTGTGACATCTTGCGTTGTCATCCTGGAAGATGAAACGGCGGCCATGACGTCGTGCGAACGGCACAACATGGACTGCCAAGATGTTGTCCCGGTAGTACTGGCCTGTAACACGCCCTGCAACAACATGTAAAGCCGTTCTTCCAGCAACAGTGATGCCTCCCCACACCATAACAGAACCACCCCCAAATCGATCATGTCTGATGACGTTAACGTCTTGGAAGCGCTCGTTTCGACGACGCCACACCCTCCTACGTCTGTCCAAAAAATCAACAGTGAACCTTGACTCTGAAATCATCACATTGCTCCAGCGTCGATTATCCCAGTGTTGACGATCCCTACACCAACGACGTCTTGCCTGAATGTGATGATCTCTCAAACAAGGGATCACGCGAGGACGTCGGGCGCGAAGGTGACCCCTATGCAGTTGATTCCGAATCGTCTGGCCACTCACTCTCACACCAGTGTCTGTTTGAAGACGAGCGCTGATCTGATTTGCTGTGATGACACGATTTCTCAAGGCCAAGGTACGGATAAATCGATCCTGGGCTTGAGTTGTCGCCCTTGGTCGACCTGAGCGTGGTCTGTCCTGTACAGATTGTGTATCACGGTATCTGGACCATAGCCTGCTTATGACAGACTGAGAAACATTCATCGTCCGCGCCACAACCGCCTGTGTTGTGCCGATCTGTAGCATGCAAGGGCACGTAACCTTTCATTTTGGGTAAGCCGACGCATATCAAAATTTGTTTTCTGGTCACTAAAACAATTAAACTGATGTTTCCACCCTGGAATTCAATGCCACAATGACTGTAACATTCAAAGTCAGAGTCGTGCAAATCTTGGGTTGGACCCCCATGATGATCCCAAGCATCACCTGCATTCCATGCGGTAGCTATTGGTGCGTTTGGGCGTCACATGTAACTGGAAATGTTTCTTCTGTTAGGTTCTATAGTGACTTTTTTCGTAGTCATTTGCATATTTTAGTATTATGCCCCCAAAATCAAATATCCCCTACTTTTTTTGAATAGTATATTTATGTAGTAGATAGCAACAATTTCCAGGCTGTTATTGAAAATAAAAATCCTAGCGGCATAGTACAAATATCAACTGTGGGAAACTTACACATCGACACAAACTACAAAGATTATCATCAAGTATCTAGCACTGTTTAAATTGTGCACGTGAAATTCAAATCATGTGGTTATTTGAGGTTAAAGGTACCTCAAGAACAATCCCGTAATGACTTTACAGAAGGTTGATACGCGGAACAAACAACTGAGAACATCAAGAAACGTCTAATGGCTTTATAGAAGGTTGATTAGTTCCCTTAAACAGTTGCTATGGAAGATATTAATTCTTACCTTGTATGTCTCATAGATCTTAGGTAAAGTGAAAACTGCTACAACAGCTGAAAAATAAAACACAATTTGTACAAAATATATTACAAATCCTAATCACATATCGTAAAAGTTACTTAAGTTGAGTTTCTGAAAGATACACTTACTACCATAGCCATTTATATGTATTGTTTAATGGTCGTGAGCAAGACATTAAAGTAGCCAAGTCTCTAACTCAATAACATCAAAAATCTTCCAACATTGAAAACACAAATTATTTGTCAATTTATATCAACATTGATGTTGTGATCTTACAGGGAAAAGATGGGCTTCTGATATCCAATATTCAAGACAAATTAAATATTTTACCATTGGTACACGAATCGTGTACCATAATGTGTTTCAGTGCCATTTGGAACAAGGGACTCAAAGAATGCAGCTAGACATATTCCACAAGTCATGTCAAATGGTGACGCTATATTCTTATCTGGAGAGCATGCGCAATAAATATCATCGGTGTAGACAGGAATAACCAGACGCTAAAGATTGCCATTCAATTAAGACTTATGGCGTATTTCGCAGAACATAACTGATTAGAAATTGCAGTAAAAACAGAAACGGTTGAATGTAAATCAGTTTATATACATTCACATTACATTATTATATGCGTTGCGACCCATTTGTGTCTATTTCCAGGTCCCAAATATTAGCGATTTAGCTCCTTTAAGTAATATATTGTACCAAACAAGAGGGCTGTGAGGCCCGAGTGTTTTTACAATATATTTTGCAATGTTTTAAGCTTGAGACCATTAAACAACTTAAAATACAGACACTTGCACATGCTTTGCAATGAAATACGTTACTCTGGTTCAAAATTTTAACTAGTCACACTTGGCAAGTACGATTATTTGAAATAATGGTACGCCAACATCAAAGGATGACGTCACATCTGTATTTTAAGTGTAAATATTGTTAGGAAGGATGTGGGGGGCTGAAAAGTAGAACTCGTGGACTGACTAAACATGTTTCACCAGAAAAAGAGTGAAATGGGGTTTAATGTCCACTCGACATAAACTAGGTCAATTCGAGACCTATATATGGTTTAATTTTATTTCAATAATTCGCTTGCGCATAGGGGTCTTTTAGCAGTAGAAGGGCTAATGAGACGGGCATACGCCATACAGTCTGCCACGAAGGAAATTTTGTCCGGACAGCCGAACTATGGCCTATTATATCGAATCCCAACTGCCAAGGGATCATTTACGTGCAGGCACAATGTGTACACGGGACCTCGGTTTTTTGTCCCATCTGAATGACTAGACAGTTGACTGGGTTAATGAAGCCAGAGAGATAAAATGGGATTTAGCGTCCTACTGCCCTGACTGGGTTAATGAAGCCAGAGAGATGAAAGGGGGTTTAGTGTCCTACTGCCCTGACTGGGTTAATGAAGCCAGAGCCTGAGATATGAAAGGGGGTTTAGCATCCTACTGCCCTGACTGGGTTAATGAAGGTAATTGTTATGTTGATATTCTTACCTAGAATAATTAATGTCATGCCATTAAACCATGATCCAATATATGTCAACAACCACAGAAGTATTCCAAACTACAATAGAGAAAAAACAGTCAATCATTAAACATACATTATACAAGAGCTTAATCTACCTATCAGGTCTTTCTTTAGGCCTGAAATATTATCTAAATTATTAATAATACATTAAACATACATTATGCAAGAGCAAAATCTGATTATTGCAAGTCTTAATTTAGGCTTCAGATGTTATAGAAATTATAAATTAGATCTTTATTTAAACAACAAGCCCAAAATCAACTCTGTAGACCCACGGATGGCTCGGCTACAGCTCGGATTTAAATAGAATTTCACTTATCAATTAATTGAAATATGGCGCATCCTGATGAGAATACGTCAGTTAGATCGAGGCTAAATGATAGAGTGTACTTAGCGAGGCCGCTGTAGAGCATTTCCGCATGCCATTGAAAACTTTACTTGATAATCAAGATATGTAGGTGGAGTTAATGCCTGTCAATCAAACGATCGGCAAAGGTGAAGGCACATTTCACTACCATTTATAGTCAAATATTACAACGATGATAACTATGTTCAGAATAAAGTAATTTGACTGAAATTTTCAATATATTCTTCTTTCATCATCTTCTTTTGAACTGTTATAGCAAGAATGGCCAATTCTCTATAAAAACCTCCCATAATGTATCTTTAATTAACTTATCCAGGCCATAATCAACTCTCGATGTCATCACCAGCCTGTGATATTTACTGGATTTGGATCCGATCTGCTGCTCAATGCTCATTCATGATTATATCAAGAAATGAATATTCGAGACTATGTTGGTTTTTTTTATCGTACCGACTTTAGTAATGATGATCGAGGCTAGGTCGAAAATTCAATCATTAAGTTCTCGGTTCAGAGTGGATCAATTCAACTGAAATTTTCAGCAAATTCCCTTTACATTATCTAGTTTTTAACTATTATAGTGAGAATGCCAGCTCTTTATCTAATCTCCCATAATGTATGTTACAAATAATATGTTCCATATAATAGAGAGGTTTCACAACTTTACACTAACATTTAGATGGTTAAACGTCAACAGTTTTTATGTCGTATGAAGTTTCATCAAAACTGGATAAGAATTGTGACCTGTAGAATGTACACAAACAAATTGTGGAAGGACAGGGGCAACAATATACGTCCACATGAAAATGTGGGTGTATAAAAATTGAATCTGCAGCATAATTGATTTTTAACATACCTTGATGCTGTCGACTAAATCTTCAATAAGAAACAATCGTCTAACTTCCTTGGCTGTACAGTTCACATGACGTAAGACATTTTCTACAGCAGGCTTCACCTTATCTTCTGGTAGTTCCAAATCTGCCTCTAGATATTGTCTGTAATATATAAAATTTTATTTAAGTTAGTAATGCAATTCATTTAATTAATCTTATAGATTCATTAATTACTTCTTGTTGGTGTCCCTATGTTTGTCTTAGTTTCATAAATATGCCTGTAGATATTGTCTGTAATTAAAGTTAGTAATGCAATTCATTTAATTGATCTTATAGATTCATTAATCTGTTGTTGTTGGTGTCCCTATGTTTGTCTTAATTTCATAAATCTTTGTTTCGTTTCACAATGAACATGTACATGTACATGCCAACGTGTACCTTGGTTTTTTCTTCAATCCCTAATCCTAAATGCTTGTCCTTATCAGGCCTTCTGTCCTGCTAGGACCTACAACAAAGGATGTGGGGGTGGGGTGGGGTGGGGAGAAAGAATCGGGCTTGAAAATCTTGAACTTTCTCAACTGGCACCAGGGAATCGATCCTGTGCCTTCTTGCTAATGAGCTTGCACACTATTCACTGAGCAAGATTTGATGGTCAATAAACGACAAGCTATATCTCTGATATTTTTTTTAATTTATCTATTTATCCTGCTAGCTGGCTGACTTATTCCACGATCTTTATAGACGACACAAGCTATATCTCTGAGATCTATTTATTCTGCTGGCTGGTTTATTCCACGATCTTTATACATTGTTATATATTGACGTTTATTTGTATAAACGTGAGTTTAGGTCAACCAGACATTGTATATATTCGTACCGTGGAGGGATGGTAAATATTCAAGTATGTATGGTAAAAATCAATGGACTGTCTACCAGAATGATCTAAGAATCAGTCAGCTTGCTCTCTCAGTACAAAACAAATCAATTAATGGCATAATAAAATACAAGGTTATGTAGTTGTGATCTAGTCTACCTACAGGGCTGTAGATATAGACTCTATCTACAGGGCTGTTTGTTATATATACTATAATACAAGGCTGTGTAGTTGTGATCTAGACTCTATCTACAGGGCTGTTTGTTATAGATATAATACAAGGCTGTGTAGTTGTGATATAGACTCTATCTACAGGGCTGTTTATAACACAGGGCTGTGTAGTTGTGATCTAGATTATCTACAGGGCTGTATATAACAGTTTTATCTTAAATCAACAACATAAATACATGTAGTTAATATTGAAATAATGTGCAACAACCTTGTTTTAATGGCAAGAACTATACAAATGTATAGAAATAAAATCGAAGTGTGTAATTGTATGTTCACTCATCACACTTTATCGCCTCGATCAACCCCCTATATACATGTAGAATGTATGTGGTATCAAATTAACAAGCATGACCCTGTGAATGTTTTAGGCCACTGATCTTTACACACAACCAAATTATTGAAATAAAATTGTATCGTATGTTAGTCCCAATGAAATGAAATGAAATGGGTTTGATGTCCTACTGTTCTGCTCCTATGCTGGGCTAATGAAGACGGGCATACGCCATACAGTGTGCTATGAGGGAAATTTTGCCCGGACAAAGGGACTACGGCATACTCTTACATGTATATCGAATTCCAGCTGTCAAGGGATCTTTTAGGTGCACGCCAACGTGTACATGGGACCTCGGTTTTGCATCCCATCCGAACGACTAGACAGCTGTCCTTGTCAGGCCCTCCGCCCTGCATCACTGACAAGGGGGAACCACGACGGAAAATCTGGATGAACTTTCTCGGTCAATGCAGGTGTCTAACACGCAACCACCAGGCTAGCGAGCCAGCATCTTACCCACTTAGCCACTGTGGCCACCTATTATTGTATTATCGGTCAACTATTTATGTCATATAATTATCAATAATAGATCATTTATTATTCAACAAGTATACTGCCGTAATTGCCAATGTCTTACTCTTTATATTATCGTGTGTCTGTGAACCTAAATTAGTTTATCACATCACACCAATTACATTTTACCAGTTTTGCATTTACATGTGTGCTATGATGCTGACCTTAAAAATATTTTTGTTTCGCCTAAAGCGACCGACTAACTAAAACCACCCCCGACTTAAATTATTTTATTGCACTTTTCCGCGATCTTTTTATTTTATTTTGTGTGTCAACCTGAAATATATCACGAGAGATATTTCCCTTTACTATGGCTATGGTTTGATTTATTATTGAAATTGGTTGATCATGACGAAAGCGTCATTGGTGTCGCTTCTCAACAAAATGGTTGCAGACGAAAGAACGTCCATTCCCACGAAATGATTCTGCCTTTATGTCTGTGGTGCGTCGTTTTAAACATGGCGACGATATTTTCAATATCCGTTTTCGAGAAAAATGAAGGCACAACCCGCACGATCGTTATAAACGAATTAAAGGAGTTTCACAATTCAAGTTCGTGGCAAATCGTGTGCGAGTCCTGCATCACGAACAATCCCGATGTCATTGAAATTGTTTGCCAATAAAGAAGACGAATGTTTCCACCCGGAAAATTATCAAGCTGTCAAATTAGCTCTTAAGTTTAATAAAAACTTTAAGTTCGTTACTTTTTACGTCAGACCCAAAATTCATTAAACAAAATTAATGAATCTGTAGTATACAGCTAATAAGTTTTCTGTATTACTTTCTCTGACTTTAAAAAAAAAAAATCTGAAAAAAAAAATCGATTGTGGGTCGGGTTTGGTGAAACAAAGATATTTTTAAGGTCAACCCGATGGAAATTCTGTCTAGGCTGCGGCTACGATGCAGAAAAGCATATCATTTCCATTTTATAATTTTATTGATTAGTAATTATTAGAGAGAGAAGTCAATTCGGGACCAACACATTGTTTAATTTTATTTCAATAATTCGCTTGCGTGTAGGGGTCTTATTAGCAGTGGGAGGAAATTGGAGAACCCAGAGAAAACCCACGAGGTTGGACAGGCGACTCTACTCCTTGTCACGTACAGCTGACTCAATGATAGGCCTTATGATACAGCGTGCACAATAGCACATGCGGGCATAACGAGACCAGTTACGTGGGCGGACATAACGAGAACAGTTCCGCGGGCGGGCATAACGAGAACAGTTCCGCGGGCGGGCATAAAGAGACTAATTCTACAATCTACTTACTTAAAAGGATGACCTTCACCGCTCTTTTGCACTGCGCCCATAATGTTTTTGTAGACTCTGAAACTGAGCGTGACTGTGAGAACTGCTAGTGACAGGTAGGCCACCACACTTAATACGGAGAAGAAGGCAAGAGAAAGAAGTAAGAACATCATACTGCCAAATACGACACCAGTCTTACGAACATCTCGCCAATAGATCAGGTCCAAAACTGAAAATAAATTAAATACAACATTAAATATGGAATATCAATTACAAGGGAAGACAACATTGGTTGTTTATTAAAGAGACATCAGTCAAGAGCTAAATCTGCCTATTGCAGGTCTTTCTTTAGGCCTTAAATTTCAAATGTTATATAGATTATTAATTAGACCATTATAAGACCATAATCAACTCTTGATGCCATCTTGTATGTCCGATTTTAAGTAGATTAGAACGATTCAACCATTTAATGACTTAATTCAGAAATGGAGAAGCACGGCTAAGCCTAGAATAACCAGTCCTGTGGTAACGATAACAATCAATGCACACTTCACGTCAAAACTAGTGTTATCTTAAAAATACTACTGTCACCTGGTCAAAAAAAAAAATGTATTGGGGGACCTGATGATCTCCCAACACTAAAATTTGTGAAATTCTTTCCTGAAATGAAATGGCAAACGTCTTACTAGGCTACTGAAGACGGAGATATGCCGTGCCGTGTGATATAAGGGACTAGACATACGGGTGTCCTTGTCCGGTCCTTTGTCCTACACCCCTGACAAAGGGCGCTGGGTATTAGTACAGAGATCTATCATACAATTATGCATAAAAAGACGCCCGGATTTCATATTGCCACCATGCACTGATACTCAATCGGGGCCTCTACGTAAGAGATCCCTTGACAGTTGGAATTCGATTTAAGAGTAGGCTGTAGTGCCGCTGTCCAGGTAAAATTTTCCCCCATAGCGCTCTCTATGGTGTATACATGTCTTCATTAGCCCAGTTCGGAGCAAAACAGTAGGACGTTAAACCCCATTTCATTTCATTAGCCCAGTTGGTGAATTTTGCCCCATTTCAGACAGCATAAATGGTATTATACTATATAATATATCATTTCATTTCATTTCTTAAAATTGGGGGTCCCTGGGAAACTGTAGTTTAATCATGTAAAAAGACAGTCCTGAGTTGGTATTTGTCTATCATGTTGGCAAGTCGAGTTTATTAACTGATAACTCACAATTCATTACTTGTCATTAATTTCAACGTAACTGAGTTGACTTAGGAAAGTAAGTTGAACTGTAAACATACCATTAGACGTATGTATCATGGTCAAATAGATAGTATATAAATATTTGAATTAGGATTAGTTCGTATCTGTTATTTTGTTAGGATTAGTTCGTATCTGTTATTTTGTTAATTAATCATCAGAAGTGTGAAATGTCTGTAACCTAAATTTTTTCAATGGTATTTAATACCTCAACCCGAATATACAGGTGACAATTCTATGGAATACAATAACTGCTTATTAGTTATTGAGCGACATTTTGGTGAGATGTTAATTGTACATATAGGCCAGTCGGGGAGGTTCGAAAATTTCTCGAGTCCACAATGGCCGCTTTATATAAATGAGTACTTTGGAGAATACTAACCCTAACCCTTTTAAAATGGGTAATGGGTAAATTGGATTCAAGTTCAGTCTTCTAAAAAGGGTTAGGATTAATCTTAGTATTCCCCAAAATACTCATTTATATAAAGCAGCCATTGTAGACTCCAGAAATTCCTGAACCTCCCCAACCAGCCTACAGTTAGCATCTGCCTACATTTTGACTAGGTTTCTCTAGTCATTACTAAAACATTGCTCAGTACTAAACAGTAATTGTTTTCCAGAGAAATTTGACCTGAGCGTTTGGTGAGTATAGAAATATTCCACAACATACACACACCATCCTATAACTACATCTACTATATTTATAGTGTTTTGTTAGATGAAAATATTCACATTCCACCACTTGAATACTACTCCATGAGTTATAATTTATTATTTATAGAATATCTGAAGCAATATTATGGCCCTGGTGTAATATTGGGTTCAAATACAAGTTTTATTATTATAAAGATGCATTATGTTATATAATGGTATCGTCTATATATAATATATTTATTAGATAATTATATATACCGATACTATTTATAGAATATCACAAACAGTATATAACCTGAATGATTCTGGTATAAAATAATATTAAACATACATTATGCAAGAGCTAAATCTGTCTATTGCATGTCTTTATTTTGGCTTCAAATGTTATATAAACTAATCAATTTGTATAGTGAAGAGCCTAAAATCAACTCTCTGGACCATTGGTTGGCTTTGATATTGACTGGATTAGACATTGCCCGACATATCTACGTTAAACGTTAATATGGCAGCACTCGCGGTGACAGCTGATTGAAGGATTGAAATTGAGAATTTGTTTATTAACTTGCAATGTACTGGTACTGGACAATCAAGGCTAACAGTCAATCGACAGACATAATTTATGCTATTTCTTTAAATATTCATAACTTCGCTGAGAATGAAGTAACTTGAATGACATGATCTATTTTCGATGTGAATAAGGGTTGACTTCAAAGCTTATTATAGTGTTAGAAAATATAGGCTGCTAGGCAATGAAACATCGACCCACAACAGCATAGATGTTTGAGCAGTTCATAAAAGTTCACATACTGGAAATATTCCAGTAGATAAATAGCAAAATATTTATACCGTAAAATATTCTACAACTTAATCAGGGACAATAACTCTACATCTGATAAAAAGAACTTGATATAAAAAGAACTTGATATAAAAAAAATTCACTTAAACATGCATTATGCAAGAGCAAAATCTGCTTATTACAAGTCTTTCTTTAGGCCTGAAATGTTATCTAAATTATCAATTAGACATTAATTAACTTATCCAGGCCATAATAAACTCTCGATGTGAAGGCTAGCCTTCGATGTTGGCTGGATTAGATTCCTATATGCCGCTAACGGCTATTGATAATTAATCAATAAAAATGGATCATCGAGACTATGCTATTTATATTAATGACTTTAGTAATGATGACCGAGACTATGCAAAAGTTTCAGCCGCTTCTTTCTCGGCTCATAGTGGATCAATTTGACTGAAATTTTCAGCAAATTACCTTTACACTATCTAGTTTTTAACTATTATAGGGAGAACTGCCATCTCTTTATCTTATCTCACATAATGTATCTTTAAACTACAGTATAGAAAAGAGAGAGAGAGAGAGAGATGGGGTTTAACGTCCACTCGACACAAACTAGGTCATTTCAGGACTAACATATGGTTCAATTTTATTATATTTTGCTTGCACGTAGGGATCTTTAGCAATCGGAGGACCCAGAGAAAACCCACAAGGTTGAACAGGTGATCCTACTCCTTGTCACATACAAATGGGAAATCCAGGTCAGGCCCTCCGTCCTGCATCACTAACAAGGGGAACCACGCCGGAAAATCTGGATGAACTTTCTCAGCCAATGCAGGGATAGAACATCCGACCTCCAGGCTAGCGAGCCAGCGTCTTACCCACTTAGGATAATGATGGAGCCAAAGAATGCATAAACAACCTTTAAAAATAATTACATGCCCTAATACTTTCAATGTATTCCGTAATCAGTATACCTGTATTTTAAAATCAATATACATGTAAACTACCTGTGTCATTAATTGAAAGTATAAATAAAAGCTTTTATTTCATGAATAAACATGTCATACATCAACGAGTCAATTTAGTTGAATATTTGGGACACAAATATTTGCATGAATACGTGCAACAATTTGAGGTCATTGATAAGAAAAATTAGAGAATGTCTTATACAGGGAATGACAAGCATATTAAAGATACATTATGTAAGATTTAGATATAAAGCTGACTGTTCTTGTTATATTGGTTCAAAAATATATAATGAAAAATGAATATGTTGAAAATTTCATTCAAATTACTTTATTCTAAGTGAAGTTATCGCTGTTCAAAGTTGTAGTGTAGCTTGTTCATCACCGTAGAACAGCACTTGACAATTGAGGTTAAGACTCGATTTTATTGTTTATCAAATCTTGCAGGTGTTTTAATCCACTTAAATCTCAGCCATCTCTAGCGAGTTAATTATATGCTTGTCATGTAACAGTTGAAGCTAAAATTTATTTCTTACATAATGCAACTTTAAAAACAGTATTTTGATTTTCTTAAGGCTTTATACAGCTGCTGGATGCAATTAGAGGGTGTGATTAGATTTAAACTTGTATATGTTGTAGAAATGTTGACAGATTGTACAGATGATCTGTCAGAGCATGAGTCAATCACAGACAGAAACTATATTATTATCAAGGTGTAAAATAATACAGGTGTTGTAGGAGAGAGAGAGAGAGAGAGAGAGAGAGAGATATGTGAGTCAGGTACAAGGTGTTAAATATTACAGGTGTTATAGTACAGAGAGAGAGAGAGATCTGAATCAGGTAAAAGGTGTTAAATACTACCCCTGTTGTAGTACAGAGAGACTAAGAGATCTGGTCAGGTACAACAAGGTGTTAAATACTACAGGTGTTTTAGTACAGTGTTTCTATATCTGGATAGTTTATAGATAGTAATAGGTATGAAGTTAATGGTGAAATAGGTATAAAAGTTCCAGTAATATAAGTACTATTATATACTAGACCAAAACTATCATTACACAGTTCTTGTTAAAGATACATTTATTCAAGAGCTAAATCTGCTATCTTTACGTCTTAAATGCTATATAAATTATCAATTAGAAATTTATTAACACAACAAGACGATAATCAACTTTCGATGCCATCTGATGCTGGAGATTTTAACTAGATTAGAACAGTTCGGCCATTTAATGGAGAAGCGAGGCTAAGCCTCGAATATACCAGTACCGTGGTTAACAATACTGCACACATTTTATCAAAACTACAAACAGTGAATATAACTTGGCTCAGAATAAAGTAATTTAAATGAAATTTTCAGGGTATTCGATTTTGCATTATCTACTTTTGCACTATTAAAGCAAGAACAACAAGCACTTTATCTAAATCTTACTATCTTTAAGTAAAATGATATATGTACTGACTATCCCAGTCTAGAGTTCAAATGTCATCTAATATTTGAAAACGTAGATGTGTGATAAATGTATCTTTTAATAAAACAATATATGCACTGACTA